ACCCTTATGCTCAGTTAGATGCTTACGTGCAAGACTAGAGGCCCGGGGTTCGAATCCTGAGAGTTGTGGATGCGCACTGCTGATGAGTACAACACCAGGATAAAACAGCCGTCCAGTGCTTGCAGATCTCTAATAAAGGTCTAACACTGATAGATTAATGTTGTCAATAGATTAAAATGTTTGCATGTGATCAGTGAGTGAATAAGTACGGGATAAATTAAGAGGAAGAGGAGGTGGAAATAAAGCTTGTAGGGAGAGACAGACAGAAACAGGGAGTCATAGCTAACCTACATTCACCTGGTTAACTCAACTGTCAACCCAACTTCCGTTGTGGGCAGGCTCAGTTTACCAACCGCCTGTCGGATGTCATCCAAACTCACTACCAACCAGCCCTATCCCACACACATACACCTACGTATTTGCCTATATAGCTTACAGCAAAATACTCACATCACACACATACCCAACCAACACTAGACTTACATCCCCTAAACACTAGCATTAACTCTATGTTTGCATCAAAATCTAGAACATTCACTCACAATCCACTACACGTAAACACCAACATCAAGCAATCACTCACAACTCTCATTTTCACTAGATCAATCAGATAGACAGGCAAACATTCACACCGTCTGCCTATCAATTACTCAGAATACAAATAATACATAGTAATTCTGTGCTGTCCACTTAACCAATATAATGGGTGTTAGGATATTCATCCAATATCCTGAGAGAATTATTGGTCAATTCCTATTGGTTAATTTCTACTGGTCAATTTTATGATCGTCCCAAATATCAAGGTCACGTACACTAATGTTGTTTCTTATTGGTTGTCCTGAATATCAATGTCACTTCAAATGTTGCTTCCTACTGGTCGTCTTAACTGTCAATGTCACAGACTTCGATGCTGTTTCTTATTCGACCAAAATGTATAAATACGCATTGTCTGTAACGTTTTAGGACCAGGACCCAGATCCCTAGTCCGGGATCCTGATTCTCTTCTAGACTCGGACCTCGTACTTTCCAGATACATGTAGAATGCGGGTTCTAGTTCAGATCAAGTCTTGTCTTCTTATTTTCACTCAATATGGGGGTTGAGATAATCGGATTTGTGTAGCACGTCGTGTCGCCGGATCCTCGCTCTCGTTGTCCGACTAGGTAAACTCGTAATAGTTCAAGAATATCAAAATGACGTGTTTACGTGCAGGCATAACAATGGGGAAAACCACTGCTGACATCCGTACGATCAGTAATATCTTCGAGTCAAATATTTACATCCATTTCCTACTGTGATTACACATAACCAACGAATCAAACTGTGTGGTTTTTCTACCTCATTAACTATCTCTGTATGTCAGGCAACATGTACATGCCACTAAGTTACTTCCAACATACAAACACACTAAACAACTTCCTTCCCTAGCCTAAACACGATTGGACGAATATTTCATCTACATCAATTATTCAATTTACCCGCCATTTTCCAGCATCATAATTGAACGCGATGTGAAAGTTCTGATTGGTTGTTTACCTAGGCAGACTGACATATAGTCTGACAGGTATTTGAAATGTCGCTTATAATATATTTTCTACCCTTTGTTCTAGTGTATCATTGTAGAATGTTAACGAATACACACATTTTAATCAGGTGGATCATATATATTCTTGATATGAGTTGCGTTAATGCCTGGTGATAATACTGCTGGATGAGAGTTTATAGAGGAACAGACACGTGTTACATCAGTGGCGACAGTGGTTAGAGGTGGAATTGTTTTTTTTTGAGACATGGTTCAAGCTCCATGAGAATCTCTGTTTATTACTGATTATAAAGAATGGAATAAATGCTCACTGCAAAAATCATACGATTACGGAGCATGAAATATTTTTGTAATTCTTATCCTCCAAAGAAGCTAGCCGACACAACCTTCCTGGAGTTTGGATTACAGTCTGTGGCAAATGTCGACACCAGAACATGGATTCTGATGTGGGTCGAAATAGATACCAATGCTAGTGTGCAATCAGTCCTAAAGGAATGTTAAAGAATGGTGAAATTCGAGGCATGATACAAAAATCTGAAAGTGTCCATGCAAACGTCGATGCTTTGTGGAAGTCTTTTCATGAAAAAAAATAGTATATCCGGCCATCGAGTTCCAAGCTGAATGAAACGCAAGGTGACTTTATTGGCGACATAGGGAGTTACATCTTGTTAACTGTTGCTACTTCGCAAAAAATGAGTTTGTAGACGACGTGGTAGATACGGCATAGTCTGATTCCTCGGTACTTCAATCCCTTTCAAGTGACTGTATCCAGTTATGTGTAAATGAATTGTGCGGTATGCTTGCAAATGTTTTTGTGAATAAATTGGGACTATGTGTGAAAGTAAAGGCTAGTACGTATTATGTTCAGCAGGAAGTAGAAAATTGTGTTTTGCACAAGGATACTAATAGCTTATTCAATTCATGATACTTTATATTTAGAACTTGACAAGCTGCTGATTTCTGGGCTTAATTCATCAGCGAATTCTTCTGCTTGAGCAAAACTAATAACGGCTATAAGGAAAAGTAATGGAAGGTCATGTGTATGCTGATGTTACTCCGTATATATATATATATATATATATATATATATATATATATATATATATATATATATATACCCTTTACTTATCAAAGAGAATAAATTTACTAAGTTGAATGGGTGCACTGTATTGTCTTAGATGTTTCGGATGCATATCTTCAGGTAGAAGTCCAGAAATAATGTAGATCCCTTCCACAAAGTGAGCAGCTAAGAAGTGTCCACCACCCTCATACCCCTACCAGAACACGAGACCAACTTGTTTACAATCAAATCCTTCTCTCACCTCTTGATAATCCTCACATTCCTAAAACTAATACCATTCACATATATTTATCGCCTCGCGCTCCTAATGCTAATGATTATAGTTCATGAAATTTTTTCCCTGGTCTCCTGAAACCCAGCTCTAAATTACATGTCCAAGCTATCAATGTTTGGACCTAGGATATCAATCTTTCTAAGCTAGGACCCTGGAATCTTACACCATTGATGTATGCTACGTATACAAAACGCAGTACAGTCATTCATTAGGCCTCATTTTGATAAAATAAAGAATCGTCGTGATTTACTCATTGTGTATCTGGAACCCCCCAATGATACTACTCCTCTAGTGTAGGTATAGCATTAAGTCTAAGTGTAGAATTGGCTATAGATAATTGTTGGTATTAGAGACCTGGTTGCGTGACCGCAAAGCCCAGGGAACTACTGCTTGAGGCCGGTCACGTACGGCCTTTTTATGAAGGGTTTTTTGAGTGTTAGCTCCGCTCTTGAAGGCTGGTTGTCCGAGGTAAACACATTACTGCTGTCACACCCCTCTACAGTCAGCAGTACGACTTCACCCTCAGACTTTGAGTAACTGATTTCAGTCTCACCGGCCTCCAATCGACCTGCCTGGCATGATAAAACCTTCAGGAACATAAGTTCCAGCCAATATAGCTCGGTTGGGTCATCACGATAAGCAAGCCCGACCACCACGTCAAGGTAGCAGCTTCGGTCGGGTGATTACGAAAAAGAGCGGAAGCACCCATAAACAGAGGCGCTCATAAGAGAAACCTAAACAATATGATTGTAAACAATGTGGTGGATAGTTGAAAGCATCAGAGGAGGAACAGGCAGCGACAACAGACAACTATTCAGACTTATTATTATATCAAAGAAATCAGTGCTAGAGTCAGTCAGTCAGTTGCAACGTAGAACTTCGTACGTATATACATAAGTTCATGTTGCCATACCACATTAACACAGAGACACAAATGTCAAATCAAATCCCATACTGATAAAGATAGTAGAGGTATTAATGGTAATGAAGAAGATTAGGGTTTGAAGATATTATTCAAGAAATATAATTCAGTGAGATAAGGTTAGAAAGACAAAGGTAGAGGTATTGACGAATCCAGAAGATTAGGATTTAAGAGAGCTCAACCAATGGATGCACTGACGCCATTGCAAACGATTTTGAGCCATGTCGTTCAAGGTCTCTAACCATTGGTGAATTTCGTCTCGCGGACCCCAACCACGTAGTCTACATCTACCAACATGACTCAGTCCACTTGTCAGTGACTGCATGGATTTCTGTCATGTTTTGGTCTGGCCACCCCTAACTTTCTTCCAACCTACTCCTACACCACAAAACATAGCTCGTCGAGGCAGTCGGTGGTTAGGCATACGCAACACATGTCCCAACCACCTCAACTGATGAAGTTTCACTACTTCATCTATTGATCTGCCATTCTTACCTAGTACTCGTTCCCTAACTATAGCATTGCTTACTCGGTTGTCCCAGGATATACGAGAAATGCTTCTGAAACACTTATAATCGAATACTGACAACCTACGAATATCTTCTACTCTTAACGGCCATGTTTCACAGCCATATATGAGAACAAAGCGAACTGTTGCGCTCAGTGCTACAAAAAATACCAGTTGTTGTTAGTTATAAAACTCTCTATTAGAAATATTATTTACATACATAAATAGAAAAGTGTCTATTAAAAATAATAAACCGTAACAAATAAATAATAATAATAATAATAATAATAATAATAAAAGTGAACTTTTAAGGCAAATAGTAATAACAAACTTGACTAAATGTAAAAAAAACACATAAAAATCAATAAATGCATTTCATTTACAAAAACTGTACATTCCAATCTTGTTCATCATGTACACAGACAGACAGACAGACAGACAGACAGACACACACACTACACACAAATTGACGATGACGAGATGTGATTGGTTGATTGATTTAGTGATTGATCTAACGATTGAGAATTCCATGTGAGTTTGATGCATATGAACAAGAAGAATCTCTCGTTGACTTATTTATTCTCTCTTTAGGGAAAGATTCAGATTCAGTCGAGAGTTTCACCAGCAACAAAAGTGTTATATGATGATTTGTGTGTGTGTGTGTGGCATTATTATTAATGAGATTGTGATATAATTGTATCAATATCCAATGATTGTAAATTTAAAATCTGTTGGGAATTTTAGAATAAAAAAATCATAATAAAAATAAGTGAATAGCAGTGAAAGAATTTTAGGAGGAGGATCATTTTACATGATAACAACAATTGAAAACACAGTCAGTCAGTCAGTCAGTCAGTGATATGCTCCGTCACAAGTTGATATGCTTGAAAGTACTATTACGAGTTCACCTAAAATCGGGTAGACGAGAGCAAAGACAAATGATCCAGTGACACGATAGGCTACTCTAATTTGAGCGTCCCAAGACTCCCTACTAAGTAGAGGAAGAAAGTCTTGACAAGACATAGAAAGTGTATTTTACAAGCATCTAGAAAATATGAGATCTTAGGTAGAATCTTAGAACTGGACACAATCTCATCCGACTGGTCTCAATTCTTGATTGTCCCAATCTATAAGAAAGGATAGACAAAAGTCTTCTTGTGACAATCACTGGGGAATAAGTCTAACTAATATAGTATCTAAAATATTAGCCTCAGTAATACTTCGACGCTTAACGAAAGCTCGTGAAGAGCAAACTCGAGAAAACCAATCTGGTTTTCAACCTGGACGTGGATGTATAGACCACATTTTCACACTACGACAGGTCCTGGAACACAGACACACATTTAGGCGTCCTACAATAGTTGTTTTCCTGGACCTAAAAGCGGCATTTGACTCGGTAGATCGTGATGTTCTGTGGCAGTGTCTGTCATTGAAAGGCGTACCAAACAAGTACATTAACCTCATACAAGCTCTCTACTCGAACATCACTGGTCGAGTGAGAGTTTATGGCGAGTAAAGACAAATGATCCAGTGACACGATAGGCTACTCTAATCTGAGCGTCCCGAGGCTCCCTACTAAGTAGAGGAAGAAACTCTTGACAAGACTTAGAAAGTGCATTCTACAAGCACCTAGAAAATATGACGTATCACAAGTACACAAATCAAGCATATTTACACAATGATAGAAACGTCAATCATAGGTGTCTTCAAAGCATTGCTCATATATCCTGGGACAACCGAGTGAGCAACGCTGTCGTTAGAAAACGGGTTCTAGGTAAGAATGGCAGATCAATAGATGAAGTAATGAAACTTCATCAGTTGAGGTGGTTGGGACATGTGTTACGTATGCCTAACCACTGACTGTCTCGTCAAGCTATGTTTTGGCATGCAGGAATAGGTTTGAAGAAAGCTAGAGGTGGCCAAACCAAAACATGGCACAAATCCATCAAGTCGTTGACGAGCGAACTTAGCCTTGTCGGTAATTGTCGACTACCTGGTTGGGGTCTGTGAGATGATAATAATCGATGGTTAGAGACCTTGAATGACATGGCTCAAAATCGTTCGCAATGGCGCCGGTGCATTTATTATTTGTGTTCTCTCAAATCCTAATCTTCTGGATTCTTCAACACCTCTAGTTTTGACTTTCTAAACTTATCTCACTGAATCATACTTCTTGAATAATATCTTCTAATCTTAACTTCTCCGATTACTTCTAATACCTTTACTACCTCTACTACTCTATGGGATTTGAATTGACAATTACATCTCTGTGTGCTAATGTGGTATGGCGACATGAACTGATGTACTTACGTACGAAGTTCTACGTTGCATCTGACTGACTGGCTGAACCAGTCAGAATCATCGCACATGATTCCGCTTTTTCTAAATCTATATCAGCAAGGTTTCTGTTTAACGCTGATTGGATAAAGCCTGCCCTAGACATCTAGACTTTTCAAAGGGACATTTGAAAGCTTCCTTACACAAATGTAGAATGTATTACACGCACAAATCAGTTCATAT